CACAAACGGTTACATTAGAATAATGTTACGGTTGAGACATAAATACATAAAAGCAAGGAACCATTCCCCATGTCAGAGTGTGATTCAGTCAGACCACAGCTGACTGGTTTGGCAGTGTATACATGGCCCTGGCTCGGGGTTTGATGCGATGTTGCGGCCCAGCATTGTGACAAACTCACTCCGTTTGCCCAGATGGGAGAGAGAACGAATGGAAGCACTTGGTGGTAGGTTTGTTGGTTCTGCAGTGTCAGGCAGCTAGGCTGAGCAGCACCGGTACCTGCAGTTGCTCAGAGAAGACGTTACAGGCTGCAATATCTTGGCTTTGCACAGCTGAGTTGTAGGTGCTGAGGCAACATTCACTCCATACTTCCTTGCTTTCATGGGTTTATGACTCAACCTTGGCATTATTGTAACGTAGTTTTTTGTGTTTAATGTTTCTTAGACTTGGTTTTCCATTGCCAGCATGGAAGAAATCCTAATGCATGAGTTTCAGAGGAGAAGGTAGCAGTCTGAACCTGCTGTGTGGCTCGATCAGCAAGTGTGAGTATTAACGCTAGAGCTGTCAGGCCTTGTGAAAATTAATGAAGCCTGACGGTTACAGAGTGAAAGGTCAGAGGCAGAGCTTGCACTTACGTAACATTTCTGTTTTGTTGTGTCTAACAGCATTTTCAACAAAGGGGAGCTTTAATGTGCAAGCTTTAGATTTATCACTGGAACTCAAGGGTCTCAGCCTTTGCTTCTCCCTGTGCTGTGGTCTGTTTTCCTTGCAAAAAGGCAAAACATTTAAACTTCCATTCATTGACTTGCCTTGCTGCATTGCCTGTGTGTGTTTTGCCTTAGTTTTCCTTCTCCAAATGTTCTTTTAGAGTGGAAAAAAAAAAAAAAAAGGCGTCTGAACTGATGCAATTTTAAAAGCTGGTGGAATATTTTCATCGTGAAGACTTTGCGAGCTCTTGTACTTTAGCTCTTTCTCCTTCTTTAGAATCTTGTTCTATTTTTGTGCATGTTTTATAATTTTTCCACTCTTTTTATTTATTTCAGTCTTTAAATTTGTACAGATACAAGGGGAAGATGCATTGGCATACGTGGTTTAGGCTTTCAATCCATGTATCAGTTGGTGTCAGTATTAGCTTTTCCATTGAGGACTTTCTGTGCAAGCTGTTTGATCAAAACAGCCAGAAAATTTTTACAATCCATCTTATCCTAGACGTTTGATGTTTGTTTTTCTTACCCAGTTTTGAATCCCTTTACCTACAGTGAGTGGACTGTTACCCTTTTTGGTGAGAGAAGTCTAGTGTTTCATGAGAGCTCAAGCCTTCCTAACTGTACTTGTGCAGATTGCATTTGTTGCTGCTGAAGGATTAATCGGAGCCTTTCAAGTGCTCTTTTAAAATGCTGGACAGAGTTTGTGTGTGTTGTGGTTGTACTGTAAATGCTGAGAAGAAAGTAGTTACTGTCTGGACATTCATTGGGCTTCCCACAAAAAACCTGTGGGGAGTTACGGTGCTGCTGGACGGCACTGCTGTTCTGTTCAGTGATGTTTGCTGGCTGCCTTGGGCACTTGTGCAGCTGTGGCTGGACAACTGATGGCACCCTGCAGTCTCTGGAAGTCCATTGGAACAGCACAGAATCAGCTCATTCTGTATTTATCTCTGGAGGTGTATACAGTTGCTTACAGGTTTCATGGCCAGTTATGACTTTGAAGCATATATGGTACACTGAATTGGAGGGAATTGACTTGTGCAGGCATCTCACTTGTAGAGATTTTCCTTCTTTTTGAAGGGACAAAGATTTGTACTTCAAGGTTTCTAAGGCCAGTTCTTAGCGTATGGCCAAAGGGTCTTTGAGTCTGTGAAATGCACGTGAAAGCACTTAACCTTTCATAGAAGTGTTGTGTGGTTTGAATAGTTAATGCATGCATATAGTTATTCAGAGCTTCACATCAGAAGTATTTATGGGGTAAATACAGGCTTCTACCACTATTTAGACAATTAGTATCACATTACCTACAAAATACAGTGTTTAGTAGACTGTTTGCGTAGACACAGTGCTCTAATCATTTTTAGTACCTTTTTGTTTTCTCATGGAAAACAGGTAAATATTTTTAATTTAAATCTAGATCTTACTTGGGGAGTTGAGGTTTCTGAAGAGTGTATCCCATCAAACACATCAACTCTTTTTCCAGCTTGAAAAGTACCTTTTCTAGGTTCACGGTATAATATGGAATGAATGATACTACTGATACGTGATGGAAAAATAATTGTTGGGAAAATAATGAAGACCAAGTGCAGCTGGCAGAAATGCAGTCAAGAAAAGTCAGAGAATACCTTTCACCCTGTATATTATGCTGCAGTGGCTCTCTTACTGAACAGCGTGGAAGTAGTAACGCAGAGATTAATCTAGTCAAGATGGAAACTGAAATACCACAGAGTAGGAGACTTTGTGTAGCTGTTCATGCTCCTGTATGAAGCACAAAAGGTCAGCAGATTATAGACAAAGGGCAGAACTGTCAAAGGAAGAAACACCAAAATGTTTCATAAATTGTATCAGAGAGGATGAATGTTGTGCACTGCCAGCAGGTCTTTCTGGAAGGGAAAACCTAAATGCAATGAACAAATAGCTAATCCAATTGCAGGTAATTTATTACTGTGATTAGTACTAGATAGTCTTTCCTCTGGGAAGAGGAAAGAAATGGAAGAGACTTCCTCTGGCTTCTCCTTTGCTTGGGCCTGGCGTTGGTACATTTGTGTCGTTGTCAGTTGTGTGTCTCATCTCTGTCCCTTGAGCCAGCAGCAGTGGCTGTCACTCCAGAAAAGGAGAGTGTTTTAAACAGTCAGAGCACAGAGCAAGGGAGCCAGGTGAAAGCTTTGTCCCTATCCTGTGCTAAATATGTACAACTATGGAAAGAAGCACGTCTTGTCTTCCCCCTGCGTGGGGACGTGGACCTGCAGCAAACACATCTCCAGCCAGCACTGCTTGCTCGTCAGGTGTTTGTGCTCTTCACTGTATGTGAACTACAGCAGAGCTGGAGCTCACAGGCAGGCACTGACACATTTGGTCACAATTGGGATTTCTCCTCGAGGACCATGTTTCTCAGGCTGTGCTGTTGATCCGTAGGGTTCATCAGTACAGCTCTGCCCTGAGCTCCCTGCTTTTACCTGGCTCAAAACCTGAGGCTCCTCTTCCATTGCTGGCACTCACAACCTGACCAAGCGGGGCCACGTTCAGTAAAAATGAACAGCTTTTTGGACATCAACTGCAGCAAGTATTGTTAGATTATTCTCTGCTGAATTCAGGTGTTTATATAACATTTATATAACAAAATATTACATTTGCACCTTTCAGTACTCACTGATCCCACAACTGGTCTGTCTTTTCGTGTCCTACGTCTTCAAAGTAAGCCCTCTTTTTAACACAGCAAGATAGAAAGCACTGGCTTCAAACACAGCGGCCCAGGTTTAATTGAACATAATATCAGGAAAATGTACCAGTTTTCAAATCTCTTATCAAAACAAACTGGAGAGAGTGTAAAATGTGGACATTTATCTAGTAAGACGAGAAGTTTTCTCTGCTAAAGCTGGCAAATGTTGATAACGTGGCAGAAACTTGAATCTGACATATTCATCCTACTTTTCTGAGAATGTAATCACATTTAGCATGTTTGGGGGGACTGGCAGCTCTGATGAGGCATATCACATTGTGTACCAGTTGTCTCTTTTGTGTTTCCTGAGAAAAGAAAGCAGGGATTTTACCTTGTGCCCAAAATTGTCAGAGAGCAGGAATTGTAGCTACTTGCCACTTCTGGTGTTTCAATAAAAATGAATTGCAGAGATGCATGTAGCAGACATGGGGGAGGGAATAAGGTAGAGGAGCGTTTATTGCATCTCCCCCAGCCTTTAGTCCAATGTGGAAGTGCAGAGTTACGACTGTATATGACCTGCATTTTGTTTGGTCTTGAAATCTATGAAATTGTGTGTTTTTCTTTTTTTTTTTCCAAGGGATTTATAACTTCTAGTTATTCTGTCCAGAATTAGCTGATTTTTGTGAAGATGATGCTTGTGTTCCGTGCATAGTTTCTGTGTAAATATTGAAAAGCAGAGTTTGGACTAGTTTTCTGTGAGCTTTTCTTAGGGGAAGGTTAATCTTGCTATATAGGTGCTTACAGGTACTGTTAAAAGCTTCTTTTTAACAGAAGAAAAAACACTTTCAGAAGCTGCTTGAAACACAGTGTTTAAACCGTCAAAGCTGTGAAAGAGCAAATGCTCATGAATAGGGGAAGAATATTCAAGAGGAACACATAGCATCCAGGTCCTTGCTCCTCTGAGGCAGATGTTGAAGTTGCAGAACAGGAAGATGTACACATGAATTTCCACGTGTTTTGAGGACCTGTGTTTTACTTCCAAATTAGTGGATGGTAACATCTACTAACATCTACGTCTGTGTTTGTGTGTGTATATGAGATCTGGGCTAACAGCACTAACGATTATGGTGGGTCCATTGTTGCTTTTGTGGTTTGTGTAAATAACCACGGACCCATGAGCAGTACAGGAAGTGAACATATAACGATATATTGAATCCATCTGCTTGTGCCTTTGTGGAAGAAAAAGAAATCACCTTCTAAATGATTGTTAGGAATATGCACCAAAATAAAAGATCGGTTAAAAGACAAGAAAACGACTTACAGTGATGGCAGAGGGGGGATGTTAGACTACTTTTAGCTTTGATGCAAACTTGCTTGTGATTTTTGGCAAGTCTCAGTGAGACCGAATCTGTGAAAGCGCACACTTTTTATTAGGGTGTTTCTTTGTGGCATTATTTTACATTTCAAAACGGTTCAATTCAATGGAAGAGAGGCGGTGTTAATGACTTCTGCTCAAAACGGAGGTGCGCACAGATTTTGGGTATTTCATTCTGTCACTGCTAGCTGTCTACTTATTGTGCTGGCAATGAGGTGTGGGAGAAGAATGTGCTAATTAAGTCCTCTCTTTTTGTTATTTCAGGAAACCTGCCATATGAATATAAAATAGTGATTGCTGGGAATCATGAACTGACATTTGATAAGGAATTCATGGCAGACCTTGTTAAACAAGATTACTACCGCTTTCCTTCTGTGTCCAAATTGAAACCAGAGGACTTTGACAATGTTCAGTCACTCCTGACAAATAGTATTTACTTACAAGATTCAGAAGTAACAGTTAAAGGATTCCGGATATATGGTGCCCCGTGGTAAGTCTGAATTTAAACTTTATTTGCTCTTGATTACTTAAACCACAGCAGGAATGATTCCTGCTGAAAATGCACGAAGCTGCTTTGTTGCTTTGTCCTGCAGAATTGTATAAAACCTAGCTGTCAACCGCTCTGAAACAGTGGCTGTATTCTTTCTGTGCATAAGCATGCTGCGTGTGGCCATCTGCGTGAAATATGGGGAGAAGGTTGTCATCTCTCTGTTCTGCCTGCTGAACAGTTAAAAAATAGTGGACGCAGTATCTGTTCTGTGCTTGTGGATTAACTGAAAGGGCATCTTAATGTGTATTAGGGAAGGAAGTTCCATTATATTGTATGCTACTTAGATGTTTGTATCTGCTGCTCTCACAGGTTGGTATGGTAGCATTTAGCACCACGTAGCACAAAGTACAAGGCAGCAGGTACTTTGAGTGCTATTTCAGATCAGTTACAGGCAGTGTTCTCTTCTGCTTGTCAAGTTATAATAATATGATATTGAGACAGTTTTGATTTCAATTCCTGAACCAGCTATATGCAAGAGGAAAATTACTGTCCATTGTTGTTCTAAGGAGACCCTGTCTTGTTTTTTCCACATGTTGAATTGCAGTGCCTGTTATCTCTCTGTGGAGCCTTTGAAATCATCTTAGCTTAGTCAATATGGTTTTCATAGAATCACTGCGGTTACAAAAACCTCCAGGATCGTTTGGTAGCACTCATTTTGAATTCTTACACTAGCAACAATCACGGCTCTTTGAGCCTGCACTGGAAAACTGATCTGCAGTGGTAGTGATCGTTATGCTACCTGGCATTCTTAATTGTCAGTTGAAGTGTTTAGATGCTGATTTATGCACGCCTGTAAAGAGGGCTTATTTTAAGCTTATAACTTATATTTTTGGTGTCAGGCGTGTTTTACAGGTGAATGTAGAGGAAGAGGAAATAGAGAGTATTAAGCCAAAGAATGGGGCAAATGCATGAGGACCTGAGAAATTTTCCCCTTTTCTTGTACTTGTCTTTTTCGTATTTCTCCTTACTGTTCACTTAACTCTCAGTCTTTGGTAGTTCATGTACACGGTGATGTTTTTGACAGTGCTTTGTAGATAATGTTTTTACACTGGTGCTGGCTACAAAACGGTGATGGAGCTCTATTTGAAATTCTTCATTTAAACTAGCTTAAATCAATCTGACATTGCTTAACTTAACCCTCTAAATCCTGTAGTATCATCTAATTGGGAAAGATGGTCTTAATTCAGCGTAGGGACCATCTTGTAAAGATATTTCACAGTGTTTCTTTTCACTATAGCAACATAAAACGCACAGAAGACAGAGTCCATAAAAGCCCTACAGAGGGTACCGTGGATTTGAGACTTGCTGCAGGATGATCAGCTGTCTGAAATGGGGGAACCGTGTGAAATGCCTTTTATATGTGTTAATGTTTGTGTACTGGCAAAATGTGGCAATGTTTTCTGCCCTGTGGTTTCCAAATTCATAATGACAATTTGTTACCCTTTAACTTCCACCTGCATCTGAAGTGTTTCATTTTGCATGTGTGCACGGGAATTTAGAATATTTGTTCTGAAATATCAAGGGTCAAGTCGTCAGAGTTGATTTTAACCATAATGAACGAGTGACATACATATTCTGACCTTTTCATGGCAGACAAATCTTAATTATTCCTCCCTATCAATTCATTCATAGAATCATAGAATCACAAGCTCTGATTGATAACTGAGCTTTCCCAATTAATGATTGCTGGGAGATTAAGCTGGATTGCTAGAAAGACAAGCTGAGCTCTGTCCAACTCCTGCTTTTGCTCTCTTTTGGAGGATGTTTCATCTGTGGTCAGCTGAAAAAACTTGTCAAACCATGTTCTGAAGCAACTGGTGATGAGAATTTGATTTGGGGCTATCACTTAGGGTGCAGCTTTTCAGATCAGTACATGGAGTCTCTTCAGAGGATAGATTTGTTTGCTTTTAGCCTTAGAAAGTGTAAAAATTAAGTGTTCCCTGCATTTTACTTGGTTCTTGAGAGGAAGGAAAAGTCACATCAGATACTGGAAAAATGTTTCAAATCTGATCTGTGCCTGGAAACTGAGACAGAATAATCAGACGAGCATTTTGGCACTTTTTTTTTTCCCCTTCTTCTCCAATGACGTCTCACTCTACTACCTATAAATCTTTAGATTACCCCAAAGGAAGAGAATTTGTGGTGGAGTTGTATGTATTTATGGCCTCCTTACCCCAATTAGTTCTGTCACAGATGTGGAACAGTGGTCGTTAACCCAGAAGATGCTCCAACCCTAAAATGAGATAAGTTGGCACGTTCAATTTATGTGCATTTTTGTATTTCCAGAGGGAAAAAAATCTCATTTGCTGATAAAGCTACTGGTTTTAATTTAAAAAGGGGGATCAACCCAAGAATAACAGCTGTGATTCTGGAGGCTTCAGCCTGTCGGAGGATTCTAAGAAGTAATTGCCAGAAGACTGGGAAAACTGGTTATAAGTCATCTATCTGTTTAGAAAATGCAAATTGCTAACTCAGTGTAACTACAGAAAAGAAATATCAGTCCATATTCATTACGTCTTATTGCTCCTGGTGCATCTGAAAGCTTCCTAAAGACCTGAGAGAATTCAAGTAGTGCCTCCTAACTTACAATTTAGTAGAATTTGTGCGTAGAAAATAACTTAGAATACACAGGAGCATTCATGTGTATTTGCAATTGGAATGTGCAGCGGTGCATATCAACAGCCTCTAAGGAGCAGAAAATTTGAATTTAGCCTGATGGTTCTGAGAGTATTAAATGGCATTAGCTGAAGGGGACTTGGAAACAGAGCAACAGCCTCTAGCAGAGGAAAGGGCAAGGTGGGATGTGAGGCATGCTCTGGGCTCTGCTCGCTTTCAGAGGAGGAAAATCTAACAGATGTTTTCACACCTTGGAAAGGAGATTCTTGGATGTGCCTCGAAAGGAGTAAAGTGGCTGAAGGTTGTGCATTTAGTTTGCAGGCTATCCACCAAATGTTTCTCTCCTTTCCTGTCCTTCTGACTTTGCCCTAATAGTTTATACCTCATGTGGTCAAAACTCTTTCAGGACAATAGAAAGATTTTACCCTTCGTATATGTGAGATTAAGGCTAGTTACTAAATAAGACAAAATTACAAACAGTGATGGATAACTGAAGTTTAAATTGTGAGGCTCTGTATGTCAAGGTCACATAAGCACAACTCGTATGCTGCTGTATCTTTAGGAGGGTAAGCAGAGGCCGTGTGCTTTCATGCATCTTCAGGTACTGAATATGTCTGAAGTGATCACATATTTTACTTTAAATTACGTGTGTTTAAATAATGTTTGTAATTGTTCATCCACGCTGAGGTCTGCATTTACTGTAGTGTGCTACTGACACTTGAATGCAAATATTCTAGCAATGTCTGGATTTTGGATAAGGCTTTAAAGCAGTCAAACCACTGGAGAGCTGCAGTTAACAGGAGCCAGAGCTTTTTAAACCACATTTTGACAGAAACAATTGTTGAGGGAAAATATTTTCTGTCTTTTGTCCATCTCCTCAGCTAGCTGTTTCTTGGTTTGTTTAAAAGACACAAGAAGTTGTAATGAGAAAATGTCGTGTTAAACTTGTGTGTGCTTAGAGCTGCGTGGTATGTAACTTCATGAACAATTAGATGATAGGTTCATTTGCCAGTTTTAAATTCTGTTCTCCGTGATGTTTCATAAGAAGTGTCACGGGTGTGAAATCTCATAAAGCAATCAGTTACGTTGGTTTTTTTGCTATTAAAATACGTGGGCAAATTCTACCCGTATGCAAAGTGAAACTGAAGACCAAAGACTTTCAGCATAAATATTTGTTTAAATTGCTGTAGAGATGAATCTTTTTGAGGAGCAGAAACGTTTTGCATAAAAGCTAATTTGGTATAAATGAATGCATTTTAATGGTTAATTGAATCAACTTCATGGTAATAGCGGAAAAGCGCAAACCTAAAAGTAAAAATTGATGATTTAAATAATGGCTCAAAACCTGTGATTTGCATCACTGTGCCATGGCTTTGTTTTGAGTGAAGCTGGGGATAAAGCTCTTCCCTTCTGACAGGAGCAGTGCCATTGTCAGGCAATATCCTGCACCTTTGTCAGGTTGCAGCTCGCTCTGCTCCCAAGAAGCGAAGCACAAAGCTGGCCTCCCAGTTGCTTTTAATGAATACTGGTGGGTTTTTCCTATGTCCAAGAATTTGATCTGTAGGGTGATGCAGGGGTCAAGAACAAACGAGTGGCTGTCGCTCACCTCTGCGGAGCCAAGGCTTTCATTTGCTTTTTTTAGTAACTCTAGAGGAAGTGCCTGAACTTCTTTTTCAGAAGCACAATTTTAATTGGCATAGATAATGCAGCCTTAAGAAAGCCTTAAGAGAGAGACATTTGTTCATCTGCTTTAGAAATAACAATTTTTGCACTTCTCTTTTTAGAACCGTGTAAATATTGTGGGTTTCATCAAAAGGCTTTGCATAAGTTTAAACTTTCTTCTGAAACTCTTTCTCTGCTCCGTTTGCAATTATATTTTAATTCAAGCTGCTCTAAGTTAGCACATCTCCCTCGTTCTGATCAGCCTCCTCAGACTTTCTGTTTATCCTGTCAGAAAAGCATCAGATGTTGGTGTTTTTTTTTCCCCTTTTCAATTATAAGTTTTGTAATGCATCATGGATTTTGCTGACAGTCTTTAAGTTCTTGCAATAGCAAGCAAATTAACAGCAGATATTGAGTGTGAGGACTGGAAAACCGATTGGCAGCTCGTGTGGTAGGATTCAGATATACTGATGGGTTGGAATGGATCTCATTTCTTTTATTTCATAGTCTTAGCTGGCAATTAACTTGTGCCTGGAACAGAAAAAAAAAAAAGAGGAATAGAGATTGAACTACTCAGCAATAAAGTTCTTCTTTGCTGTTTAGTGCTGAGCAAACCACGAGGAGACTGGGCAGCAGGCTTGGTGATGTCCCAGTTTTTCACG